CTGCTATTCCAAACAACGCGTTTTTCTGGACCATTCCAATTCGCCTCGTAATTGTAGGGGTGCGTCTGCGATATTACATTGACCGCGAAAGCAGCAACGGCAAAAATACACATTCGTGCATCAACACGGGCATGCCCGCAGACGGCGTATAAAATTGCGTGCCGATTACACAAAGAGAACCCAGTGTTTTGACTGCGAACATGAAAAATCAGCCGATCACAACACTCCGTCCGGAGGTCCTGACCTCCTTCACGGAGTAACAAATGAGTGATGACTCCGGGACGTTTCAGCGCACCTTCAGCCCGGGTGATCCCGCCATTCCGTCCCGTCCGTCCCGACCGTCCCGTCCCGGCTGGTTCTGACAACAACCTGTCAAGGAGCGGCGTTAGAAAGTGGACCAATTGAATCTTATCTTGTAGTAGATCTAGAAGAAACACGGTTAGGCAACATATTCTATATTTTGACAAATATAAACTTAAAATCTGTACATTGAAGCGTGTATGTGGATTTTATTACCTTACTAAAGGAAATGGTGGATAGCTGCGTACTTTGAATTGCTACCGAGACAATTTAGCAATAGTGCACATTATAAGAGTACAATTCTTTTCTGAATTATATACATCGGAATTGCTCTATACAGATCAATGATATTTTATTAGTTCATGTGTTGAAACCCAGACACATTCTTTAGGTCAGACAGAACAGAGTAGATTCTCCAAGCAGATATTTTGGTGGCGGAATGGTAACTGTCTGGCAAATGGCCAATTTGATTCTGTCTTTGCTCAGCCACCAAAGCAAAGATCTGCTTGGAGATGAAACAGAGTACGCCTTATACTAAAGCTAAATGTACTCTACCTGACCCAGACGGGAGTCGGACCCAGTTGGGCGAATCTCTCTTGGAGCGCCTGTGCGCAAGTCCTCCCACCGTGGCGTTGTTGTTCTGTCCCCCGGTGTCAGCCTCGCCGACGTGCCCAGACTGTCCTCCCTCAGGGCTCTGCACAGAACCGGTCCAGTAGGAAGGAATACCACAAGTCAGTACGTCATGTTTACCGCTGTACTAGCTGAGGTTTAGTGGACAAAATATTGGAAAACACACACTACATACGTTGGCAAAACCGGGCTTGTAGACTCTTTGAACCTGATGGTAGCATTCATGGGAATGTCAAGAACTGTGATAGGAATACTGTCAGTAAAAGATACGATGTTCTTGTCGTAACTGAAATTATATATGCCTATCACTATTATTCACGCAGTGCGGTAAATGTGACTACTTACATGGGACATTTGTTGTTGTTCGGCGTAGTTTGGTGGGAAAGTCGCGCCTCGGACCTGTGTTTCCAGCACGACGATCCTCTCCCTCAGAGACAGGACCTCCTCTTGGTCTTTCTCGGCCCGTGCTTGGAGTTTGGCCATGTCGTCGTGGTCTCTCTGAGCCTGGGCTTGCAGTTTACCAATCTCGTCGTGGTCTTTCTGAGCCTGGGCTTGGAGCTTGATTATCTCTGCGTCGCTTTTCTCGACCTTTTCTTGCAGTTTAGCCATCTCGTCGTGGTCTTTCTGAGCCTGGGCTTGCATTTTAGCCATGTCGTTGTTGGCTCTCTGAGCCTGGGCTTGCAGTTTAGCCATCTCGCCGTGCTCCCTCTCCACCCTGGCCCGGAGATTGCCCATCTCATGCCCGATGTTCTGCACGATCACGGCCAGCACCACGGCGGAAACAAACACCGCGGCGGCGCCGAGAACACCTACGAGCGAGCCGAGCGGGCCGCCCGTGCGTTCCCGGCGGGTGCTCCTCTCCGGCATGAGGTGACCGTAAGGGAGCTTCTCCGACGTCATTCTCCACCGTAACGATAGTTAGTAAAGGTAAATAAGGCCTAGTGTGGTTTCAGACGGAAACAAAATCGTCCCAACCGACAGTTTGGACGGTTCTGATCCCAATGAGGAAATAGCCCAAGCACGTATGTATAAATTATACCAAGTCAATTAACTCGGTTAATTATACTCTCCGACTATTGTTGTAGATGACCCGGCCGGTCACTTGCAACATCCCCAGGCAAGACTGAATACCAATGAGGCGATTTGGGACTCACATGATATAACATTTGAACTATGTTATTTAAAAATGCAGTCATCTGTGCAAGGTCGTCTAAAATGTACTTACCACAGAAGCTTCAAATTCTGTAGAAGAAATCCTTTTTTATGGTTAGATTTGCGCTGTAAGCATATCACTTTTATTTCCCGGTCGCATAATCATTATTTGTAAGCATTCAGGTCCAAATTAACATAATTTGATTTTCGACGTCAACCTGAGACATCTTGTACCAGTTGTGGTTCTAATGTTACTTTGTGTATATATTATACCAACTTTTTAGTTCA